ACACACACACACACACACACACACACACACACACACACACACACACACTCCACAGCCCTTGTGTCCTTGAAAGGGAGTGTGTTCACTGACACCTGAAGTAAAACACAGGGAAAGAAGCCCGCCTGAGCCCCTCCCCCGATCTGTGGCAGGTGGGGGAGCTGACTCTGACCCATACTAACTGGAGCACCCCGGGAAAGTGGGCCTTGCATCTCAACTGGGCAGCACAGTAAAGTTGACCTTGTAGACAGGAGAGCAGGTGAACCAGCCCCCTTGGGAGCTGGGGAGATCTGGCCCAGCCCCTCGGCAAGGGAGAGATTCCAGCCCCTCCCCCACCACTACACACACACACACACACACACACACACACACACACACACACACTGCCTCTAGCTGCCTGTGGTAGTTGTGAGAGTTGGCCCTGAGGTCATAAGACCTAGAGAGAGCTGTCCCTGCCCCTTACTAGCCGCAGCACTGGGGAGAGTGGTCCTTGCCCCTCCCTGAGCAAACCTAAGGTGGGGGTTGGGGTGGGGAATGGGGAGTGGCAATGCTGGAGAGCTCACCCTGGTGATAAGGACCTGGAGAGCTGGTAAGGCTGACCAACCCTGCAGCTACCCAGGTCCAGAACCAGGGTTATGAGGTGGCCCACTCAACATCCACCCCCTCTATGGTTGAAGGGGCGTGTCCTGCAGATCCAAAGTTACAGGATCTCCATGACAAAGGGCAAGACTCCAAGAGGAGTCCCAGTGAGGCTGTTGCAGTAGAAACCAAACCAGAGGCCTCAAACCAGACCAAGGGCTCTTTGCAATGAACACTTGCAAGTAAAGCCATACTGGCAAAAGGTTATACTCTGTGATTCTCTGTGTACCACTACAGCTTCCATGATGAGATTCACACACACACACACACACACACACACACACACACATACAGTCTTCCTCAAATTTTATTTTATTTTATTGGGGGGCTTTGCAAGGGTAGAGGGTGGATATGAAGAGATAAAAAGATGAATGAGATCGTGATGCATGATGCGAAAGACACAAAGAATAAATAAAAAGTTTAAAAAAAAACCCACTCACAATAGAAGCTGCCTGTGGTGGTGGTTCATACTTATAATCCCAGAACCAGTGAAGCTGATGCAGAGGAATCACTATGAATTTATTAGCCTAGACCAAAAAAATGCCCCCCAAAATAACAAAACAAAAACCCACATACAAACACAGACTAGCGTACTGTAGTTGAAATATAACAATAACTGTTAGTATAGGAAGATTTAGATACTCAGTAAATAATGTACACAAAAGTGTATAGGGAGACCTGCATTGAGGCCAAAACATAACTTACTCGCAGAGCTCTTTATCCCATTCCAAAGAATGAATGTTAAAAAGCATCGTCCTGCTTGCATTTGTTACATCTGTACAGTGGACACCCCCATTGATTCCTCCTGTCAAACTCTAGACAGAATGAAAGGGGCATGTTAACTCTGAACTAATCTGCAGTTGTATTTATATATTGCCAAGGGCAAATATTACCAGCAGAGCACATAAAAAATATGGAAGAACCAAACATTTCAATTTTCAAGGTTTCAGCAGCATTCGATAGAAATACAATCCGAGCTACACATGTAATTTTGAAATGTCTGGTAGCTGGACCTGCTAGATGGCTTATCAGGAAGAGGCACATGCTGCCAAGCTTGATGGACCTGAGTTGATTCCTGGAACCCACAGGGTAGAAGGAGAGAACCTGACCCCACAAGTTGTCCTCTGACCGTCACACACGTCATGGCAGGCACTCACCCCCCCCCACATACACACAAATGTAGTTTTAAAAGTAGCTACATTGAAAACACACAAAGAAATAGAACTATAAATTGTACCTGTAATTCCTATAGTCATATTATTTAGTCGATATATTTAAAATAACATTTGAACATATAATCAATAAAATATTATTAATACATTTTACTTTCTATTTTTTCTTCAATCTGTAGAATCCAGTGTGTACTTTATATTCAGAATATACTCTGGATTGACAGCAATCAAGTTTCATAGCCTCATGTGGCTACTTTCATGCAATTCTAGTTAATTTCTGATTTAAAAAAAAAGTTTTGTTTTTAATCTTCTATCTGTGGAAAATTCAGAGTCTTATAAAATTTGACGAGGTGGAATGTTACCTCCAAAGGTTTACAGAAAACCTTTTACATGCATGTTTTCTCTTTCAATTACACATCTTTTTGTGCACATCCTGAAAGCAGAGTTTTAAGTCCTCTATAACACCTTCAGAAGCAATGCTGACATCCCTCACATGGAAACAATAAGAGGTAAGAAAAGAACAAAGAGAGACAAACAGCATCCCACTGGGCATAGTATCCCAAAATGTGCCCTCCTGTCTGCTGCAGCGCCTAGCTCCCATATGCTCCGTCATTCAGCTTTGAGGCAATTGCTAGAGCTACTCATTCAACTGTGACCGACATGTAAGAAAACAGTTGGCCTCTACAGAACATAAAGTATGCATTCCCTGGCCAAGTACAGGACAGGGTGGAGAAGGCAACCCTTCCAGGAAGTATTCTGAAAGGCCTGCTATAAGGAGTCCATAAATGAGAATAAGACAATACTGGCTTGATGCTCCCCCAGATGGTGAAAAAGTTCCTCATATAGTTATTAAAGCATTTGTGGAGCAATGTGTTTGGAATTATGTGAGCATAGTTGAAGCAAGATCAGCACCAAAGTGTAGGATCTTACAGTTGACCGACTCTTAGAGATGTTATCTACAGTATCGACTGCTTTGGGACACATTGACAAAAATGGCTATAATAAATGTAACAAGGATAAAAAGGGAGAGAGAATAGGAACCACAAAAGAGCATGTACTTTAAAGATATATGTTGTGGGGCTAGAAAGATGGCTCACCAAAGAATATTTGCTGCTCTTCCAGGGCACCCAGGTTCAAGCACCAGCACCCACAATTGAGTTCACAAGTGTATCAACTCTAGTCCCAAGGAATCTGACTCCCCCTTTTGGTCTCAGAAGACACAGCATACACATGGTGTATATATATAAGTATAGGCAAAATACCCATAAACACAAAATAATGAAATAATTTTAAAAAATCAAAAGATCTACATTGTAAGCCAGGTGTTAGAGCATACACATTTAATTCCAGCACTTTGGAAGCAGAGGCAGGTGGATGTCTATGGTCTACACAGCAAGTTCTAGGTCACCCAAGGCTCCACAGTGAAATCCTGTTAGAGAGAAAGAGAGACAGACAGAGAGACAGAGGCAGAGGCAGATTGGAAATCACTGGATACAGTGACACATGTCTGCATCTCAGGATTCAGGAGACAGATGTCAGAGGACTGGACAAGTTCATGTTTAATAGGGTCTATGCAGTAAACTTCAGGCTGGTCAGGTCTATATCCTGAGATGCTACCTCAAAAGGCCAAAACAGAAAAATAATGTGTCATATAAATATCTAAACTGTTCATTAATAATGACCTGCGTTCATCTCTGGACAGAACATTTAACATAAACTTCTGCTACGATTTTCTTTCATATTCCGGCATGATTTCACAAGAGAAAGCTATAAAACATTGACCAGGAAGGAGAAAAGTAGCTGAGGCATTTTTACTGTGTAAAATAGTTATTTCTTCCAAGAAATGGCTGGTGTGATAGAATGGAACGATGGGCATGAGAGAAAAGCTACCTAAATTACTTTCCCAAGTGATAAGAGCTATGAAATATGGTTTTGGTAATTACCTTCTGCTGTCACTCAAATAAAACAAGAAAAGAAAGAAGGGAAGCCGACAAAATTGCCTCTGAAATGGAGATAGACATCCTGCTGCTTTGAGTGGTTTTTCCTCAATAATGATGCTAAATTAGATTCCAAATGTTGGTCAAAAATAGTAGGTAGGACAGTTAAAAAAAAATCCCCCAAAACAGTCTCTGTGCATACATTACATTGAAACATACCCAAATGAGCCAGGAATCAATGGTCCCAAAAAGCGCTCTATTTTCTTCAACAGCCTTTTGAACCTTTGTCACGTTGTCGAGGAGCCAGCGAAGTTTCACTGCACTGAAGTAAGTGCTAAGCGGAAGGCCTGTCTTGGACTAAAACAGTTATGAAGTTCGGTCAGGAAATTGTACTCACCACAGTTTAAATGAAATCTCTAAAGAAAAGAACTCAACAAAACACAAACTGACGAGTGGCTCGAAAAGCATCCCCATAGGCTTTCAAACGAAAGTACTTTTCCTCTCCTATGGTGCCGAAAAGCATGTTCATGACCAAAGAGCAGAGCAGCTATGTCTGCAGTTCGAAGAGTATCCACAAAAGCAAAGGAAAGAGACAACTAACTACATGACACATCACCTTCCTATTAGATAGTGACAGAGCAAGGTCGTTTCGCAGTAAACTGCCCACCTGCAGATCCTAAACCGAAATTCTGCACTTTACTGTTCTTCTCATGGTAGATTGTGAATTTAGCAGTAATAAATTAATAACAATAGCAAGAACATTAGTTTCAAACACATAATTGAATAACATACTATATCTATCTATACTTATAAATACATGCACAGACAGACAGACATAATCAAATAACAGAGTAATACGAACTTCGCGGAAAATAAATGAAGCAAAGCTCCAAGACATGCCAGATTGAGGCAATCCCGAACTGCTGTGCATAAGAAAGCAGCTGGCTGATGTCAGCAAATACAATGCGTGGAAGAAAAGGACCAGGGAAAGGCTAAAGGGTAAAAATGAACTCGTGTGCTTATTGATCTTTCTTGAGAATAGGTGAGGTCCAATTCTTATTAGCATATTAAATATTAAATTTCTTTATAAAGTTCAAGTAAAGGGATTAGAGATGTAATTGAATATAAAATAATACAATTAGTTTTCTCTCCTTCTAACCCTATTCCTTATTCTTATCTGATGAGCATACTTCATGAGAAAACTCAAATCACATTTGATGCGCTGTACTGGTACGTGCTTATAATCTCAACATTTGAGAGACAGATGCAAAAAGATTGCTGAGGAGCTGTAGAAATGGCTTAATAGTTAAAGGCACTGGCTGCCCCTTCCAAAGGACACTGGTTTAGTTCCCAGTACCCATATGGTGGCTAATAGCTGTCTGAAACTCCTGTCGCAAGGAATCTGATACCTTCTTCTCGTCTCTATGGGCATCAGACATGCGTACAGGGCACAGCTAATACATGCTGGCAAAACACCCAGACACATAAAATGAGATAAAATAACATATAATATAATGTATAAAAGAGGATTGCTGTAAGTTTAAGGCCGGCTTGGTATATACAGTGAGCTCCAAGCCAGCCAGGACTACACAGTAAGACCCTGTCTCAAAAAATGTTTTCAAATGTTTTTACTGAAAAAAATTGTTCATATAATATATTCTGATCACAGTTCCCTTACCATCACTGCTCCTAGATCCTCCCTACTCACTCAACTCCATGTGTGTTCTCTCTCTTTCTCTCTCTCTCATAAACAAACAAAAACCTCACAAACCGTAATTTTAAAACGCCAAGAAAAACTAAAAGAAACACACACACACATAAAAACATGTAACTGGAAAACAATAATATTCTCAAATATTTTAACTCCACCAGCAGATTAAAAATCTTAAGGTTTGTAGCTTTCTTTTGGGTTGTTGGGGGCAAAGAGTATCAGTGCTCAGAAATAATGGAAAACATTATGGAAATATTATTTGACTTGCAAGGTCATCCCACAGAGGCACAAGATGTTCTCAAGAAGATCTTGCAAACCGAATAGACATCGTGTTAAAATGGTCAGACAGGAATGTGAACAATGCCTGCAGCGGCAATGCGGAGAGCACTACACAATCCCTGAAGCCCAGTGCAGAGGCTGGGAGGCAGGGTTATGCAGTGTGACAAAGCAAACAAAATGAGGAACTAAATGGACAAGACAGCCTGAATATTATCTACTTTTCCTTCCTCACTGATTCCAGGTTACTAAAAACTCAAAAGCACTCAGAACTTTCTTCAGTGGCCAGCAGGGAACTATGCCGATGGATTCTGAAAGTAGGGGTGAATTAAGAAAGCACCCCTTGGGGAATATGATTTAAGCTACTGGAACAATATGATCTCTATCAGTCTGTCCTCTTGGGGTATTGTTACTTCATTGCCCCACAGAACAAGAAAGACAGGTGAAGGCTTGATTTGACCACAGTTATCTGAAAGAAACAGTCTCGAAGTTGTATAAAATAAGCATTGTACTGCAGGTTGTCAGACTGAGATAGTCTGTCTCATGAAATCGGTGAACTTTTTTTTTAAAAAAATACACATTCTTACAGTGTGCTTCAGAAGAGATTTCTTACCTTGACAAAGTTATTATTTCCTGGAATTCTTTTACTAAGGTTCTCAACGGTAGACTGGGTTCTTAAGTCGAGCCACACTATAGATCAAAATATAACAATACATATAAAGAACTTCATAAGCATGAGAACTTAGTGAAATCACTATCACAGATAAGACACTGATTAGTTTCCACAAGCAATTAAAATGCTAGAGATTTTAAAGGACAGAAATTAGAAAATTAGAAATGAATAGACATACTGTTAGAAGAAAATATATTTACAGAGGAAAATTGAAAGCTTTTATGCAAAATTACAGACCAAATTATAGGACCAATACAAACCTTGGGCTTTTATTTTGCATTATTTTTACAGGAAAAAAATGAGAAAGTATTTAGAGTAAGGATTTTCTAAACACACAAGTGGAGAGAAGACCTAAAAGTCAGGCAGGCTAGTTGACAGTGCGAAATGCATAGCTCAGGATAAAAGAGATATCTTAGAAACCTTGGGAGAAGAGACTGTGAGAAAGACTAAGGAAGTAGAAAACCTGATGGGATGCTTCTAATAAAATCTTTTGAAGGATGCAAGATCTGAAATTGTTAAAGAATTTTCTTTAGTTCCAATCCATTTCTTTGCTGGATTACATGGGAAAAACTCTACTTTAATGGACCACCATTTTCTTTATAAATTTCTGTTATCTGCTTTCTGACCTCCAAGTGGAAAATATCTCATTTTGTTTTGTAGCAGAAGCTTGGGGAGCAGAATGCACTAAAAAAGTATAAAATAGACTGCATAAGTGATCAAACACCAGCTTTGCTATTTTTTAGAGAGACAGGGTCTACTGTATTTAACTTTTATAGTTTTTAATCTACTCATGGTACATCAGTATTTTTAGGATGCTAACTATGCTCAGATGCTCCCTGAAAAGAACTGAGGCCCACAGTTTATTTAAAGGACTCTGGGGGAAATAATGCAAGTTGCACACTAATTTTTGAATGCTGACAGGTACCTAGTTTGATTTGTTTAGCTGTGTTTTTCTGATCTCTTCATTTAAAATCAGCTCTTTCCCATAATAAATTTCTATAAATTCTAGTTATCTAAATAGTTCTGAGCTTCATTTTAATAGTACTAATTCCCATGAGATTTAAACTGGAGACCAGGATACAATACTGGTTTTTCTAGGTATAAAAAGCAGCAAGCAAATGATCCACATGTCAACCAAGAAAATAGGAGGAGAGCAAAACCTATGAAAATAGAAGGCCCATAGGTAAGATCTGCATTTGGTGCCCAGCACCTACTCCTCTTGACTCCAGAAGCATCATCTCAAATTCCCTTTGGGGATTAAGATTTCCATAATCCTTAGCCATGAGGCTTAAATAAGAAAGGTCCCAAGTTCCAGGGTAAGGTATGAACCCTAAGTTCTTATATAAGAGATCCCAAACCACCGAACCGAGATTTATGTTCAGCCTTCAATAGTCGTTTCTCTGAGCTGCGTTTGGCAGCTATTTTTAGGGCCTGCTATTTTTCATGACGGGAGATCTGAGTCTATCATGTCAGGAGCCGTCTCTGAAAAGATAGACTTCAGGGGGACCCCAGTGACCCTCTGTATTCAGAACCAATCAACACCTAAACTAAGCTACCATTGGATGGCTAGACCCATTAGCAAAAAATGACTTGCTTTTTGTTTTTTCACTTGACTTGATTGGAGCTGAGTTTTCTATTACAATGTCCGGGCACAAACCATTAGCAGTATCATTCATCAGACGTGGCGAGTCAGCTACATGTTACATAGAAACAGTACTGTGTGATGTTGACAAAAACAGACTTTCCTCGCAGACAAGCAGCCTTAGCAGATGTTACTGGATTAACAGGAGTAACTGGGGAAAGTGGGAGGATTCAGAAGAGAGGTTTTAAATCTGTGATTACCAAGCGCATCTTAACGCTCAGTTTTTAAACTACAATCAGCTCTGAGTTTAAAAAAGAATTTAGTGAGTTTTGATTATCACTTCAAAAAATGAAATGGTAGATCAGGACAGCAAACACTAGAGTTCAACGTACTTGGTAGGATAAAGATCAATTTGGGAAACATTTGTTTTAGCTTATATGGGTTTGTTGAACCGTAACATAAAATACATTTTCTTAGAGAGGGACCTAAACAGATTTGAAATCCATTGACTCTTGGCTTTCTGACCTCCTGTCTGATAATATAAACCTCCTACATCTGGTACTCTCTCACTTTCTGTCTCTTCTTCTCCTCCCTACTACCCTGGCTGTCACAAAAGGGTGTGACAGGGAACAGGGAACTTCGCAAAGGCCAGACAAGTGCTCTCTGCTGACACTACACCAGCACTCCCTGTTGACTTGCATCTCAATGGACACAACACTGACTGGGGAGCTGAAGGATAGGCCCCGCACTCCACAATTCTGGGACAGATCTGTGAAGAGACCCTACAAATTTGTCTTTAAGTAAGTGCCTTCCTTTCCAAAAACCACTACCAGAACTCCACAGCCATGGTTCTTTCTTAGGAAGCATAATGGAACCACCTAGAAAACGTCAAGCTTATCTAAGCATAACTACCTTGCAGGATTCTGCTTCAAGTCTAGGCCAGGCCTATGCCTAAATACTTCTCTATGAGCATTCCAAACTATCCAACACAATACTAATAAATGAGCACGTCTTTTGCAGGGCATGTTCTTTAGAGTATTAATGAGCTCCAAATAATTAATTCAAAACCAAATCAAACACTGACAATATGGTAGCACTAGGAACCTCAGTGGTCCGATGACTTTATTGCTCTTTAACGAAGACTAGTTAGCCAGGCTTGGAGTTATGCATGACAACAGTGGTATCCACAGAGTTAAATCCTCACTTCAAAGAATCGAAACACTGAATGTACAATCATGAAACCAAAGTTCTAGGTTTGACTTTGCTATCAACAAGCTTTGTGACTTATACAATTTTTCAAACCTGTCTTGTCCCAGATCCCCTACATATTAAATAAAGATGCTGGAGTGGATGGCATCGAAAGTCCTTGTCCTTCCACTGTTCCAGGATTGCAGAACACTGCCGTGATATTTACTTTGTTTCTTACAACCAAAGAGTATATGGCAATTAGAGTATATGGAATGAATTAGTACAAATGGCAAAGAAAAAGATGTCAGTGGTTGTTGATATACTACCAAAGCAATTCACAAATGTTCAAAATTAATGGAATTAAGAACAAAACAATTAGAAAACTCATTATTGAAGCTAAGATGGCAGAATTAGATTTGCAGAACAAGAGATCAAAAGCCAAAGAGAAGACCCCCCTCAAGCTGGAGGACTAAGCCCCTTGTGTAGGTAATTTCTGAGATCAAAAGAAGTGACAGATCCAGATCTGGCAGCGGCAGTCAATTTCCCCCCAACACGTCTGAGTTGGAAGGTCGGGTAGGGAGCAATAGCCAGAGCACCAGTACCTGAGGAAGAACCAGCAGCTGGAACTGGAGAGCCAGAGGGGACAACGGCAACTGGAACTGAAGAGCCAGGAGAAACTGGAGCAGCTGGAGCATTAGGAGAAACAACGGCAATTCATGCTAGAGACAGCCAGGTTCAAGGTCTATGCGCGCTTGTTTGGAAATGATAGATCGCTTGGGCAAGTTCATCAGCATGAATGTGTTTTCCACACGTGTGAATGGAGAAAGAGAAACGGAAGAGACCCGGAGTAGAAGGGAACAAAGGCAATCCGGCCGGAATGTCTGGTTCACTAGCACTTCCATGTGGATGAAGACCATGAAAGTGTGTGTTTCTTGTTCAGAAAGATTCTTCCCTACTTGGCAACACACGTGCATCTTAGTTCAAAAAAAAATATAACCACTGAACTCAAATCACGCATGATATACAAGAGCACATTTTCAGGGGATGTTCAAAGAACATGCTCCAGTCCCTGCTGTGTGGTCATCTACTGCAGACCATGAGCTATCTTGGGAAGGTACAACCCTAAGAAAGTACTTTTCTCATTGGATTGCTGGAAGTAAAATCCTTTCCACAGACAGGAACAGTACTGTCTACTGGGAATAGGGAACTGCTAATTATTAAAGTTATAAAATAATATATAGTGGGGAAATAAACTCTAAGGAGTGCAGAATACTATACAAACTCCTTCTAAAAGGTATTAATGGCCTTATTTAGATTAAATAAATAGAAATTTCAATGCTGCAGACCATCCAATGAATAGTATACAAAATAATTTGCATGGTGTGAATAAAGCCACATCTAATATATTTAGTTTGCCCTGATAAAAGAGTTTTATGAGTGAAGAAAAATGTAGTTTCCTTAATCTCCATGAGCCATTTTTGAGTGATATACACAGTACAGAAGATACCATTATCTTTAGAGGGTATCGAATAAAAAATCAGAAATCTGCACAATTTTGGTTAATCATCACAACAAGAAGCAATAAACACATCTAAGAAAATGAAAATGGAAAAATCCCTAGGAAACACCTATATCTGGTTGGCTAAGCACAAAGCAAATCCATCTCCTGTGAGATGGCTTGGCCTGGTCTGTTTGTAGCGTGCTAAGATGAAGGGGAGGCTCCATGTTATCCAGCACACCATAAGCAACGACCATCAGAGGTTTACGAAATGTTATTGGCTTCTTCCCCTTCAATGAAGTAAGAATTGTAAATGCCAGTAGTTAAGCCATTAATTAAGCTGGTTAAAAGGTCATATACAAGGGAGAAGAGACTATGCTCCTCATTCGATGACATTTTCAATAACATGGGACCAAAAAAAAACCTATTCACCTCCTTCCGTGTGTGTGTGTGTGTGTGTGTGTGTGTACACAAATACATATGCATGCAGAATCTGAAATCAACTTTAGCTGTTAGTACATAAAAGCCAAAATGCCAAGACAGATTTGAGTGCCTGAGAAGTAGTGATGCAAAATGACAGCCCTCCTTAGATACTGCAATAGAGTATACCTTATTAAGGCTAAAATATATCAGATTTATATATTTATATATATATACATATATATATGCCCATATATATATATGCCTATATGTATATATGGACATCTAGCAGTAGGTCATATATAGCTATGGGACCCACTGAATTTTCACCTCTGTTTACAACTGGAAAAGATACTAGTAAGCACACAGCTTTATTGCAAGTAAGCATAGCCTTTATCAGTATTCTATTTGTTGGATAAGCCTATGCCATGGCCACCACTGAATCCTAAGAGTCTTATATCTTATTTTCTCCATTACTATAATAGAGGTAATTATATTCACTATTTACCACGCATATAGGAAAAAAAAGAGGCCACACAAAAGGGACTTTTTTTTCATTTTGATTACATTTCACATTCAGTGTGTGTGTGCCCAGCATGTGTGTGGAAGTCTTGTGACACTGGCAAAGTTGGTTCTCTCCTTCCACACATTCATCCCAGCCCTCAAACGCAAATCATCAAGCACCCAATGAGCCACCTTGGGAAATTTTAAAAAAGAAAAATACAAACTTTTCTTCTCATTCACCCATTCATAATATTGTTCGTCAGTTATCTACTTCAGTTGAGTAAAAACAGGAAAATGAGATGAATCGGCTAGAGTGACGGAGCTCTACAAGAGGAGGAAGAAAGAAAAAAGACTGCTGGGAGCTGATTTTGTTGTTTTGTTTACAGTCATGTATCCTAGGCTGCCCTCGGATATACATCACTATATATGGAAGATGTAGAGTGAATATATATGACCTCATGATCTCCCTGGCTCCATGCCAAGCACTTGGATCAGTGTACCACCATGACTGTTTCGGACTGAACATACCAGAAAACAATCACAGCGAACTCCTAAGCCCCAAACTTGAAGGAATTAAGATGGGAAGCCTTTGGGAAATGACTAGGTCAACCAGAGTCTCAGAAAGGGGATTAGTGCACTTGTCAAATGGCTGCAAAGTGTTTGCTTTCTTGCGCCCTGCTCTCCACCGCACGAAAACACAGGACAGGCAATGGGGCCCTCACAGGACCAAATCAACTGGTACCTTGTTCTCAGTCTCAAACTTTGAACGTCCACAACTAGCAGAAACACAAATCTGCTGAATAAGCCACCGAGTCTATAGTACTTTGGTTCTAGCAGCCTGAATTAACATAGAGAAAATGAAAAGTACAAACATCACATTATAATATAAACAAGCCAAAGAAGCTTGACCACAAATCCATGAAGCAATCTGATTCTGTTCCCACTAATCCCATCTGATCTTCCTTTTGAATAAAGCTGCTAAATATATAATACCATGATGAGTCTCTCAACTGAAACCTACATGGATGGATAATCCTTCTATGTTTCCCTAGATGAAATGAAGTTGAAGGAAGAATCCAGCCTTGTAACGATCGAGCAGCTTCTTTCTCTGATTCATTTCTATCCTCTAGTTCTCTTTCCATGTCTTCTTCTAGCTCCCAAATGCCTACTCTTTTGACATTTTTAAAACAATCTTATTTTACATACCAATCCCAGTTCCCTCTTCTTCCTGTCCTCCCGCTCCCCACAACTTTCCTCCACCCACTCCCCGTCCACTCCTCAGAGAGGGTGAGGCCTCCTATGGGGAGTCAACAAAGTCTGTCACATCACCTGAGGCAGGACCAAGGCCCTCCCCCTGTATTTAGGCTGGGCAAGGTATCCCTCCATAGGGAATGGGCTCCAAAAGAGCCAGTTCATGCACTAATGATAAACACTGCTTCTACTGCCAGGAGCCTCACAAACTGTTCATGCCACAAAACCATCAGCCACATTCAGAGGGCCTAGTTCAGTCAGTCCAGAGTCAGTGAGCTCGCACTTGCTTGGGTCAGCTGTTTCAGTGGGTTTCCTCATCACAACCTTGAGCCTTTTGCTCATATTATCTCTCCTCCCTCTCTATGATTGGACTCCAGGAGCTCAGCCCAGTGTTTAGCTATGAATCTCTGTATCTGCTTCCAGCAGTCACTGGGCGAAGGTTCTATGATAACAATTAAGGTAGCCATCAATCTGACTACAGGGAAAGGGCAGTTAAAGCACCCTCTCCATTATTGCTTAGATTCTTAGCTGGGATCATCCTTGAGGATTCCTGGGAATTTCCCTAGTGCCAAGTTTCTCACTAACCCTATAATGGCCCCCTCAATCAAGATATTTCTTTGCTTGGTCTCTCTCTCTGTCCTTCCCCCAGTTCAACCTTCCTGATCCCTCATGTTTTTCTCCCCCACTCCCTCCCTCCCCCCCATTGTCCCCAATTCACTCAGGAGATCTTGTCTATTTCCCCATCCCAAGGGGATCTATGTATGTCTCTTTTAGGGTTCTCCTTGTTTCCTTAACTGAGACACAGAAAGACAAACACAGTTTGTACTCATTCATAAGTGGATATTAGACATATTAGAAAAATTCCTACTCTTAACTTGTGACACAAAGGTAAATGACAAGCCTCCCTGGTTTGTTGAGATATATTTAGGGGTCACCACAGAACATGGAACATACACAGATATCTAGCCATGCTTTTGAATTTCATTGTATATTCATTCCTATAATGAAGTCATTTACCATTAGTTGAGATGATCATATCTGTGCTGAAAATTTTCAAATCTGCACTGAAAGCAATTTAAAGCCAAGTGTGCTGGTGCATGCCAGTAAACCAAACACTTGGGAGGTGGAAGGAGGAAGGTCAGGATTTCAAAGTTATCCTTAGCTACAGAGTAGGTCCAACACCAGCATGGACTACATAAAACATTGGCTTAGAAACAAGCAAGGACTGTCAAGAGAGCTCAGCAGGTAAAAGCGCTTGGTCCCAGGCCTGACAACTTGTGTTTGAGTCTTGATGTCTACAAGGTGAAAGTAGAAAACCGGCTCCAGCCGGTTCTCCTCTTTCCTCCAATGCCTGCCATAGAATGCAGGCCTGCCTTCTCCTGAGAATAACTAAATAAATGGAATAAATACATGGAAGAAAAGCTTTCAAGCAAATCTTTCAAAACAATAAATAAATAACTTTCAAAACAATCTAATTTCGGGCTGGAGAGATGGCTCAGCGGTTAAGAGCATTGCCTGCTCTTCCAAAGGTCCTGAGTTCAATTCCCAGCAACCACATGGTGGCTCACAACCATCTGAAATGAGATCTGATGCCCTCTTCTGGCCTGCAGGCAGACACACAGACAGAATATTGTATACATAATAAATAAATAATTTAAAAAAACAAAAACAAAAAAAAACAATCTAATTTCTAGTTGCCTAGAAAATAGCTTCAATCAGAAATTTAATATCTCATATAAAGCAAAAAGCTATTTTCCTCCTTTAATATTACCTAATTAACTCCCGTTATCACAAACTCAAATTTCTTTTTAAAATTTTTCTATTATCTCTTCTGTGAAACAGGGCTGGGGTTCTGTTATAGATGTAATACAGATTTTAAGCACAGTGCTAAGGAGAGGCATTAAGAAAAAGAGAAACAACCTAGAGAACGGGCTTTTCAAAGAACAAAGAATGGTCACCTCAGTCATGCTTGTGAACTCTCCAGGGCACAGGCACATGGTTGCACCTAGCCTGAGATGGCCTGCCAGTTTTTCTTCTCTTCATTTGTACTGCACTCTCTCAGGAACCAACTAGAAGTTTCAATTAATAGCTTTCACCACACAGAAAAATCCTGTCCTTTACCATATACGTGTTTAGATTTATGTTTTTTTATTTGCTTACCCTTCCTGTTTCATATTCCTTTCCTTCTTTTTGAAAATCACTCAGTTTCCCTTCTTTATAACTTTTTTTCTTTTTCTTTTCTTTTCTTTTCTTTTTTTTTCTTTTTCGAGACAGGGTTTCTCTATGGCTTTGGAGCCTGTCCTGGAACTAGCTCTTGTAGACCAGGCTGGCCTCGAACTCACAGCGATCTGCCTGCCTCTGCCTCCCAAGTGCTGGGATTAAAGGCATGCGCCACTACCGCCCGGCTATAACTTATTATAATAATCACACATTATTAGTTTTTCTTTTCTCATTTTGTTTGTTTTTGTTTTGTTTTTGAAACAGAGTTTTCCTTTACAGCCCTAGGTGACCTAGAATGTGCCATGTAAGCCAGGTTAGCTCTGAACTTGAGACAATCTTCCTGCCTCAGTGCTGGCATTTAAGGCATGTGCTATCCCAGGCAGCATGATTTGCTACTTATGACAGAAATCTTTTAAAGGCCACAGATTTAGAGCACAACTTTCCTTTGAGGAAAGAACGGTATCGTTTAGTGCTCTGCACTTGTCACATGCTAAGGATAAACTAGCATCTTCTCAAGGACATTTACATCTAAGATGTGACACCCAAAGGGAAGCTGCTTGAGACATTTGAAGTTTGTATACCCTGAAAAAACAATTAAATTTATAAAAGAAGCAGCTAAAATTCTGATAATTTATCTTAATAAGAGTTCAAATTTTTAGGTAGAAAGTACAAATATACAGATAGTTGATAGATAATTTTGGACACTTGCAATTTTGGATTTTCAGGATAGGAGGGAGAAAGATCTCTTCTAGACGGCAGAAACACAGTGGGGGGGGGTTCAAACACTTCTGGAATTATCCACCCTCTTATATGATACAAACAGTCAGCTGTGAGATTGTAGAGAGGGCAAGGGAGAGAGAGCAAGGGAGAGAGTAAATTCAACACGTGAATAACTATGATCTGAAAAGTTTAAGAGAACTCTGCCGCCCACCTCCTCAGATTATGGGAAACATGAACATATGCTTTTCTGGTCAGATGACTGCCTGTGACCACCTTTGCGAATGGAACGAGGCCTTGTGCTGCACCTCGGCATGATGGCTTACCCACGGCATTGTAGAGAGGCTCTCCGGTTAGCTTGTCCCAGACCACCGTGGTTTCCCTCTGGTTGCTGACACCGATGGCTTTAACAAGAAAGTGAAACAGAAGGAAGGAGACGAGACGGTTAAACATGTTGAATATTGCTTCAGGATAACAGGAACAACTAACACCTCTTAAACACTTGCGATTTTTTTTTTTTTTTTTTTTTTTGGAGACAAGGCCTCACTATGTAGCCCGGAAGTCCTTGTGTAGACAGACTGACCTAGAATTAACAGAGACCCCCCCCCCCGTTATATGCTGCCACTTCTGTCTCCAGCCTGCTATGATTAAAGACATATGCCACCATGCTCAGCCTTCCATCTGGAATATTTGTAGCGGTATCTGGTTTATTTTCCTTAAATGCCACGGGGAAAAGTGAACATGCAATGTATAGTTTGTAAATCTATAGAATCCTCCTACTCCACTTGAAGCACACAATGACATGGATCCATATCATTACTAAGAAGAGGCTCCAAATTGTCTCAAGGGAAGTAATAACTTCACACGTTTACAATGACTAATTTATTATTAGGTGCCACAATAAACTGATTCATGTGTTACGAGAAAGTTCCCTTCCCATATGTGTACATATGTGCAGGCAGGCATTTTAGGAAAACAACCACAGTCAGGCATGGCAGTAGGAATGCATGCCCGCAACCTCAGGGTTAGGGAGGATGAATGAGAAAGGAGACCAGAAGCCATCGTCAGTCTGGGCCACATAGAAAATTCGAAGGCTAGATAAGGCACTATCTCAAGACAAGCCAGTGAGATGGCTCAGCAGGTAAAGGTACTTGCCACACACGTCTGATGGCTTAAGTCTGTGATCCTTGGATTCAAGATAAATGGAAGGCGAACTACAAAGACTCCATAAAGTTGTCCTGTGGCCTGCACACACGTCATGGTATATACACACCCTCACCCCCAGCACACACTGTCTTTAAAAATTTAAGCCAGGCAGTGGTAGCATCTGCCTTTAGTCCCAGCACTTGGGGAACACAGACAGGTAGATCTCGGTGAGTTTGAGGCCAGCTTGGTCTACAAAGTGCGTGTCAGAACAGATTCCAAAGCTACAGAGAACCCCTGTCTCGAAAACCCCCAAAATTATAATAATAAGAGGAAGAAATATTAAGGAAATATTCAGTAGCACTTAGGCTCACCAAAGTCAAACAGCTGCTGTTTAAATTCCAATCTTGAGTCCCTTTATTTTGTCTCCTCGGAGTTTTATTTCTTGTAAAGTGAGTTTTAGTTCTTGTAAATTCAAAGTCCCCACCTAATAATAAGTCCCCACACGTTAAAGCAAATGTCTGGTAGAACTAAGTATTGAATAAATGTCCCTCAGAGCTGCTGCTGTCATCACCGCTGAGTACGGAGTACAGTGACTGTCGCAGACAATGAGACTGAAGCGAGCAGGCTAAGAGGAATCCTTGGCATCTCAGAGGGCGCAATGGCATCTCAGAGGGCACAAAAGCAGGGGCCCAGCAAGGGGTGGCTACAGGGGAATATTGCGAAAGTGATATTTGCTTTAAAATAAAAACTTTACAAGGTGGCACCACAGGGAATTCCCAACTAAGAGTCCATTTCCTCATTGTTGACTTTCCTGGAAGTCAGCTGGCTGCTCTTTTTAGTCACAACCCTCTCTAGTCACATGTCCGTCATGCAACCTTTCACTATTGGCTCCTTCTGACTCATACTGAGAATCTAATCTGGAGCTATTTCCATCCGATTCTTTGGTCCAGGATTTCTCTCTAACCACTCCCTCTTTCTCCTCTGTCTTAATTTCATTCTTCCGTGCCAAGTGAAACTGCTTTCCTTGCAGACACCCAAAGTCCACGGAAATCGCTCTTCAGGATTCTCTTTGGGCCACAGTTATCTTTATTACTGCACACAGGTCTAATGCAAAGCTAGTGAGCTTTTCCTGTGTTCTCAACCCGTTGTTTTACCCTAAAATCATTTTAAAGTTACATTATATATTTATAATATATATAATAAACAAATAATATGTATTTATTTAATATATAAATATAATTTATATTTAAATTTAAATTTATGTAATTTAAATTTAAATAATTTAATATATTTATTTAATATATAAATATATTTATTTAATATAAATATAATATTGATTTATTAAGGAGGGAGCTTGAATATAGAGGCCAGAGAACAACTTGCAGAACTCAGTTCTTACCTCCCACCATGTAGGGCCTGGAACTTGAACTCGGGTTGTAAGGCTTGACAGCAGGGAGCCTTTAACCACTGAGCCATCTTAACCTGCCCAAATCACTACTTTTTAATTCTTTCTTTTGCAGAGTACCACATTCAGGCTTATAGTACGCACCATTCAGACACATATGAATGCTATACACATACACAAAATACACATTTCTTGGCCTCATGGGAATGTATTTACGGATATAATCATTCATATAAATAAAAACTAACATGTTGGTCTTAGGTCAATCGGGTTTAGACTTTATCTAATATTTTTAAGGGGTTTGTTTTCTTTTCAGTGACTGTTAGTAACATGATTAAACTATTTAAAATCTAACAGCCAACACCTAGCATGGTGGCTCATGACTAAATTCCAACAGACTGGGGAGACTGGGATAGGAGGTTGGCTATGGATTTGAAGCCAGTCTCAGTACATAGCAAGCTCCAGACCAGTCTGAACTACACAGCCAGATCTTATCTCCTATCTCAAAGACAGACAGACAAACAAACATAAAGTCACACATACATATAGATGAACAAAAAGTTATAACCACAATAAAGAAGATATACTTAGAAAAAGTTATTGTTCTTAAATACTTGAAGTCTTAGTAAGTGGTGTCTAGACCATATTGTGGATCCTTTCAAAAATAAAAACAGGGTAGGGATATAGCTCATGGATTATCATGGATAGACCCCTGTATAGAATCCCCAGCACTAAAATCGGTAAATAATGCTTTATTTAATCATTGTAACACATTTTGGAATAAGAACTGATAATACACAGAGAAAACTAACTAGGCCCTTTCAAAACCAGCTTTCTTGCTACTACAAGCACCATGTGGGAAGACGAATGAAGCTTTTCACACTGAGCATGGTGGCATATGCCTATCATCCCAGCACTTAGGAAGTTGAGGCCAGGGGACGGACTTTGTGAATTCAAACTCAGCTACATTGCTAGTCATTGTCTAAAAGAAAAAAAAATTCAAGCCCTTTCTGCTTCTCAGGCTATGAAAAAACTGTGTAGTTTTACATGCAATGTGTATATTTGAAAATTAAGAACGAGATATGGAAAATTATTTTGTAAAAAAGGTACCTCTCTGAGTCCATCATGAGGTTCATAAGTGTAAGATGTGACGGAAATTTGTGTGTTAGGGTGAAGGAGTAGATGTAAAGATTTTCTTTTATCCTATCACCAAAGTAACTGTTGGGAATGTAACTCCTGACCATCTATGGCCTCGACTTTGAAACAGTTTTTGCTATCAGTTAGAGAGAACATCTGGCATTGTAATTTTGGCTATGGAGTGACTCCTAAAGTCCCATGAAAGGCAAACGTAATTGCCTAACACAGGCAGAGCAGCCCATGGGCCCGCTTTCGGTTTAAATGTGCTATTCAACTACAGAGTATTTTTTAATTTAGGAGGCATTCTTCACAGTAGCTTAAGTAAAAAATATGGTAAGGGTGTCTGAGAAATGTGTCTCACTTCAGTAGACCACTCTGACGTTGAACTCACAAGCAATCCTCTTGCCTAAGGCTGCCAAGTGCTGAGACGATAGACGTGAATGATCACACGAACTTTGAAGCACGGACTTTTTGATAGATGAAGACAACTAAAGGGAATGAGTCAGGAATTTGTGAAAGATATATAAGCAGATATGATGAACTCTGTTAATGATTATCAGATAAGACTACATGATATTGCTCTCCACTGGCAAAGCTCATGTACTTGTCGCATAGGAAATACAAACTAAAGGTTTTGTGAGATTATTATCAGTGTGGCCCAGGGAGAAAGCTACCTGTCCTACGGTCCTCCTTCCCCACTGCAGTTAAGGAAGCTGCTTTAGGTGACTGCTGACCCTTTACAGCTTTTACTGTTTCGTCGCTTATACTTCTACATAAGAAAGCAAATCTTGCCTTTCTGATGAAAATTCAGTAAATTATCTGGGGAAATTATCAGCAGCGTGACCGGCCTGGTATGGCAGGCATTATGGGATGTCCTCATCCTTAGCTACAGGCCGTTGATTGCCAGGAAAGAATCACTTTGACTTGGTGTGACTTTTATATTGGACAAATCAGTATATTAACAAGATAGTTGCTTTAATCTCAGCACTTGGGAGGCAGAGGCAGGAGAATGTTTATGAGTGTGAGGCCAGACTGATCTACATACAGAAGGCCAAGAAAGCCAGGGCTAAATATTGAGAAGAGGGAGGAGGAGGGAAAAGGGGGAGGAAGAGACAGATACATGTTTAAGTCTTATGGACCAGTTAGTTATTCAAGTGTAAGACAATTACTTGCTGAGGACCTATGTGTCATCTTCACATACCCTATAAAACCCAGAAAGAGTTGTATACCAGTGGGCTCAGAAGGCCACTATATTGCATTCTACTTTATCTCTCAGGAAGGTAGAACAATGTTAATGCCAGGGTCAGTTATCCTGGACTCTATAAGCTGTGAAGTTTATTTATGCCTCAGAGGTAATGACTCTTTTAACAGCTAAGCACTACTGAGAACTGATTGTTTATATTGTTGCAGACTGTTAGAATATCCCCCAAGAAAGAAGAGCAATCATTTTGATATACAGCTCACATAAATTTGGTGACTGCACTTCTATTTAGATGTAAGAAGAGCGGGGCATGGTGGTGCATGCCTTTAATCCCAGCACTTGGGAGGCAGAGACAGGGAGAGGCAGAATTCTTCTCTTCTAGCATCGTATCTGCCTGTGTGTTGCCATGATGACAATGGACTAAACCTTTGAACCTGTAAGCCAGTCCCAATTAAACGTTTTCCTTTATAGGAGTTGTGTTCATCGTGTCTCTTCACAGCAATAAAAACCCTGTTTTTGTCTTTGTGAGGACAAAGACAGAAGCTGGTACAAGGGGTGGAATATTGCAGTGATATGCCTGACTGTGCTTTCGTTTAGGGAAATGTAGAGTTTGGGACTTTGGATTAAGAAAGCAGTTCAATGCTTTAAGTGGTGTTCAATAGGCCATACTAGTAGGAACATAGAAGACAGTGGCGCTAAGGATAACCTGCTCAGCTCAAGAAGTTTCAGAGAAGACTGTTAAGATGTGGCCTAGAAAATATTTTGTGATATTTTGGCAAAGATGCTTTCTGCCCTTGTGCAAAAAAAAAATCGGCCTGAGGTTAAATTGAAGAGTTATGAATTAACAGCTTTGGCAGAGGACATTTCCAAACAACCTACCATTGACCGTGTTGTGTGACTATTAATGGCCTGGCCACACTTACGCAGATCTATAATGAAAATGAGCAAGCTGAACAAGGAAACTGTATACAAAATATACAGTTTAAAAAGGAAGTACCAGAAAGCGTAATAGAACTAAGTCCAGTGCCCAAGGAGATAACTTTAAAGAAAAGGCCCATCCTTAATGGAATAAAGGGATTGGTAACCTCAGGGCAAGACCCCACCAAGCTAAGTTTCCAATTTATAAAAGGTAATTTTAAAAAAGCTGATGGCCAGGTGTGCTGGTATGTGCCTTTAATCCCTGCACTCTGAAACCAGAGGCAGGCAGATCTCTGAGTTCAAGGCCAGCCTGGTCTATAGCTCAAGTTTCAAAACAGCCAAACTGAGGCAATGAATGAAACTACCAAAATCAGAAAGCTGATAAAAATGTATTTGAATGAACAGGTCATGTTCCAACCCAAAAAAGCAGCAGAATTGGGCAGATTTGGTCACATGGTTTTGGCTCTAGAGTCAAGGATACAAGAAAGGGGTTATGAAATCTTCCTCTGTGACTAAAGAAAGCTGATGAGGCCAGGCGCATGGCGGGGCTGCCTCTGCATGGAAGTCCAGGGAGGCCTTTGTATGAAGCTGTGAAGGTGAAACCTGGATTGCCTTGGAGACAATAAGATGTTGGAGATGTCAATGCCATGGGACACCTGCCAAGGTGAGTTGGTAACAGGGAGCGTAACCAACACAAAAGAAAAAAGTATGTTGCAGTCAACAAAGTTGAAAGGATTTAGAGATCTGAAGAACGCTCTGACATCAAACATGGAGATGCAGAATTTGGAGTTTGTCCAGCCCGTTTTAAGTCTTGCTTTGATCCAGTATTTACTCACTATGCTCTCATTCCTCTGTTTTGGAAGAGGGGGGTTAAAAGTTAATAGACTGTCATGATTCTCAGAAGAGAGTTTGAACTTCGGATTTTTAAACAGTGTTGACACTGTACGAGACTTTGGAAGGGGACTTTGAAATTGGACTAATGTAATTTTTCATTATGATATGGCTACAAGTCTATGGGGCCAAGGAGTGTAATGTGGTGGTTTGAATGAAAATGGCTCCCACAGGCTTACAGGAAGTGGCACAAGTAGGTGTGACCTTGTTGGAGGAAGTGTGTCACTGGAGGCGAGATTTGAGGTTTCATATGTTCAAGCCAGGCCCCTATATCTCTCTTCCTGTTGCCTGCTGATCCAGATGTAGAACTCTCAGTGCCTGCATGCAGCCAAGCTTCCTGCCATATGATAACAGACAAAACCTCTGAACTCGTAAGCCAGTTCTAATTAAATGTTTTCCTTTATAAGATTTGCGGCTGTCATCTCTTCAAAGCAATAGACTAAGACAGAATGTGTCTAAAAGCCAAAACCAAAGGAAAATCAATAATAATAACAACAAAAACAATCAAGAAAAAATCTACTTAGGACAAAAAAAATCTTAGGAGTATGATCAGTCTTGAAGCCAAGAGGATATGAACCAAAACACCAAAAGTGGACTATGGTTTCTTCTATTGGTAGTCAAACTACCTAAGTAAATAAATAAATAATAATTAAAAATGAAATGTATGTGTGTGTACACACACTGGGAAACGTGGTACATGCCTGTAATCACAGCAAACTCCAAGCCAGACAGGTCTATTTATTTAGTGCTTGTTTCAATAAAAGTCAAACAAACAAACAAATCTCAACAACACAATACAAGATATAAAAGGCAAGAAGCAGCAATGTCCACATTGAGTTTTCACAGTATACAATGTTCCAGCAACCTTGGGTAGCTAAGTAACTTTTTCTCCCTGTAAAAAAAAATAAACAGGCAAGCAAGCATAGGTATTCTACCAGAAACTAGGAATTCATAGAGAGATCTACAACAAACTCATACTTTCAGGCAGTGAAATACTATAAGTAAAGTGTTTGGATTTCAAAAACTATTCCCCCAACCTATTCTTCCCCCTCATGTTTCTCTTCTCAATGAAACGCATTCCCACCTACCCAGGAGCAATGTGTAACCCGATAGAACAAAACAAAAGAAAACAAAAAACTACCAGAAACTGAAGCATCATCTTTGACTCATTTCTTCCCCTTGCCCAACTTCTCACTACACTACTCTCTCTCCTACCCTGGTAGGCAACCAGTCAGAAGTACTGGTCCTTTCTCCTTGCTTCTCTGCCACTGCTGTCAGACAAAGCCACCATTCTGTTTCAGCAGGGCTACAGAAGCCTCACAGTGGTCTCCCCACCACAGTCCGTTTTCTACACACCAGGTATGGAATTGTCTAACTGCCGCCTGTCACACTAAAACTAACACTCAAGCTCCAAAACACGGTCGACAAGATGCCATTGACTTCTCCAATTTCAGTGCCATTAAGCCCCTAACCTCCCCACTCCATCCGCTCAACTTGATTTTACTGTTCTTAGAACACGTTGGTCTTCTTGGTGGCCCTAGCCTACCTCCATTTAGTCTCACCTTGGGATCTATATGTACAGTTTTTTTTTTCTTCAAAGATTTTTCTCCCATCACATGGCTGATCCCTCATGCCCCTTGAAACATCAGTAAAATAATCACCTCCTCAGAGAAGACAAGCCTCCCACGGCCACCTAATCTAAAGTAAGCCCTGGTAGGCACACCCTAGCGTGTCACTCATGTTTTAATTTCCCACATGGAACTCGTTAGTATCTGAAATGAACTTGCATTGTCTTCATTTGCTTTTCTTTGCCTTCATGAGAATAAAATATCTGCGTGAACAGAGACTGAATCTTGTTTACTGTTGCGCCCACAGGTTCTCACAAAAAGGCTTACAATGCACACACATTCAATTGAGAGCTGAAATAATAAATTAATGAATGGGATCAGCACAGCTGTACCAGAAGATGAGAACATTCAACTGAAATACCTTTGATGTTGGAAATGTCAATATTGAGCTGTCCAAGTTTTTCACACGTTTTCTCTATACACTCATAAACAGACTGCAGGATTTCCTTCGGGTCTTGTTCTACCCATCTTTGGAACAAAAGGATAAATGTGTTAGTCTCCAAGAATTCATTACAAACCTAACATGTTTCCGCAAATAAGTTAACCTATTAGATGTGCCTAGCACATAAGAGAAAAAAATTGCAAGGCTGGAGAGATGGCTCAGGTTAAAAGTACTGACTGCTTTTCCAGAGGTCCTGAGTTCAATTCCCAGCAACCACATGGTGGATCACAACCATCTATAATGAAATCTGGTGCCCTCTTCTGACCTGCAAGCATACAGACAGACAGAATACTGTATACATAATAAATAGATAAATTTTAAAAACTGGAAAGCAAATCATATCTATATTCTACATTCTAAAGGAATAAAAAAACTATGGCCCTTACATTTTCCTATTTTTCTTATTCTTCACATAATAATAATCCATCCTTCTAAGGATGGTCACTAGCCAGGTGTGGCTCACTCTTCAAATTCCAGCACTTGACAGGCTCAGGCAGAATGACTGTTTTAAGTTCTAGGCCAGGATGGTCTATAAAGTGAGACTACCCTGGTTCCAAAAGCCAGGAAATAAAGCAAAACAAAACAAAACAAAAAAATCCTAAAAAGTAATCATTTTATCACTATTAGTAATAGGGACACAAAAATAAATGACTTCAGAGTCAATGCAAAATTTCTGACAGTTTACACACTTTTGTTGTATTACATGAATTTCTTACACTTTGCTTTCCATTGCTGAATTCCTAAGCCACCCATTGTTCAGACATTTTTTCTGAACTACCACATCATAGCTTCATCTCTTGTCCAATCCCAATCTCTTAGGTCCTCTCAAGACAGTGTCTGGCTAAGTTTCCTATACCAATCCACAGAGTGCATGTGGTGAGAGAAACCAATCAATGTGACATGCCATTACATAGTCAAGGAAGAAACATACCCTTCTCTTGGGAATTCCTGTTTGATTTCTACTTGATGATGACTAAGAAGTTCAGCTGTTTTTGAATTGAAAACCTGAAAAACACATCAATATAATTATGTAGGTTGCTATAAAATCTGTTTAAAGTTAATGAGCCAATGAAGTTCTTAGGAACATATAGAAAACAATGCATCAGATGGAAAGGCCACCAATGACATTTGGCTTATTCTTCAGACAGAATCATAACACATTACAATGTGGGTGGCTATAGAGATGGACTCAGTGGTCACGAGTACTTGCTATTCTCCCAGAGGACCCACTTCAATTCCCAGCAGCCATTTCAGAATGCTCATAACTTCCTGTATTTCCAACTTTGTGGGTGTGTGTAGGTGCACTAGTGGGCTACTTTGAAGGTATGTGTTTGTTAAGTGAATACATGGAGGAAACAATCAATATATATATATATATATATGCACACACATAAAAATAAAAATATATCTCAAAAATTGCAGTGCACATCAGGAATAACTTCTTATAACCAAGAATGGTGGGGACTCACATCTGAGATCTCACCTAGAACTCAAGAGGCTAAGGTAGAAGAATCCAGAGTTTGAAGTTAGCATGAGCTACAATGAGACATATTGTCTATAAAAACTATAAACAAAAGGAAACAAGGGCTGGAGAGATGGTCAGTATTTAAGAACACTGGCTGCTCTTTTAGAGGACCCTAGGCTCCATTCTCAGCACCCACATGGAAGCTCACAACCTTCTGCAACTCCAGTTCCAGGAGATTTAACACCTTCTGGCCTCCATGAACATCAGGCATGCATGTGTGCACGGACATACATGCAGGCAAAATGCCCATACACATAAAATAAAAATCAACACATCTTTTTAAAAAGAGGAATGAAATAATTCCTGAGATGGTATTGCATACATGGTCAGGGGCCTATGGCTGGGATGGATGCAGGCTCAGCAGAGAACCTATGACCACTGTTTTGCTAATATATTATTAAGTCGCCTTCTAAATGTGCATGTTTTTACCCATAGATTAGTGCTGTTCTCAGTCTTCTTCCAAGAAGCTTCTCATAGCTGTGGGTGGCAGCTAATGCAGAGACTCATCAGTGGTCCGAGTGTCAAGAATAAAAGTGATGATGGATGAGAGGACATCTCTATCATACCTCCAAGGCTCATGGACCATCAGAGAAAAGGGGATGAAGGCAATGCAAAAGAGCCGGAGGATGAGTAGGTATGTCACAGAGGGATGTCTTTTGGACATGACATGGTTGTTACCCTTATAAAGTCATGATTGTTGTACTTACTGCAGAAAACCTACTCAAGAGTCGCTCTATCAGCATTTCATCCCAGATGGAGAGGGGCTCATGAGGCACTACCCTCCCTGACAGACGGCAATAGCACCCATGCCCAGACAAGCAACTTCAGTTAAAGTCGGTCGGTCACAGATAAAATAAAAGGAATAAGTAAGAACATAACTTCTTCTGCAGAAGGGTTCCAGCAGGAAATGGAGGAAGAGAAGAGAGGGCAACGGGCGTGAAAACAACTGAAATTCACTATACATATGATTGGATATGTCAAAGAATACATTTTAAAACATATTTAAAAGAACTTCTCCCGAGAAAATGAAACACAATTATTTTTTAACGAGGTAATTTCTGCTAGTTGCGGTGGTATACACCTGTAACCTCAGCATTTTAGAGACTGAGGCAGGAGGATTGCCACGACTTTTGGGACCAGCCTGAACAACATAACAAAGCTGGATTCAAAAAAGTAATGATATAATAATCACAGTAGTGGTGTATGACTTTAACCCTAGCACTCAGGAGGCAGAGGCAGGCCGATCATTGAGTTTGAGGACAGCCAGGACTCCACAGAGAAACCCTGTCTCAGAAAACAAACAAACAAACAAAAAACCCCAGCTCTTTGTCCCTAAATAAACCAAAAATGGCTCTGTACAAAATAGAAATTAATATAATTAATAACATAGATGACCTTGGTGAATAGAAAAACCAAGAACAGTAAGAAAGGTGATGTAATGCTGATGGTCACAGCAGGTTCCACTCCTCATTCATCTCTGATGAGAAGGAAGATGCTCATGCAGGGTTAGTACTTGTAAATTCCTGTGCGGGAGACCCGGTGGTACCTTTATCAGGCTCTTTAACAGGAAAATGGAGCCCTGTCAGCAGGGAGAGAAATTGTTAACTGGAGGCCCCATCCACCAGGCATCATACATAAATTGCAGACCCTCGATATAAAACATTAAATCTAGGGCTGAGAATGAATAAAGAAACCACACAACTGGCTACAATTTCAGTAAAGTAAATCAGCACTTTAAAAAAAAATTTAAAGATTTTTTTTTTCTTAGAGATTGTTTCTTCTAGTTAGTACTTGTACTTGAGTACCAATTTTCTTATGGTTTGAGAGTAAGAATGCATAATTTAACTAAAATTAACTCTCCAAATCACTGTAACAATAGCATAATGTTCACTTCTAATGAGTTCAGAGAGTAGTTCCATGCCTCAGTTTCCTGGGAGAGAAAACATCTGTTCAATGTAGACTAAGAAAAGTAAAAATAGAATCAGGCGGTGGTAGTACACGCCTTTAATCCCAGCACTCTAGAGGCAGCAACAGGCAGACCTCTGTGAGTTCAAGGCCAGCCTGCTCTATAGGGTGAATTCCAGGAAGGCCCCAAAGCTACAGAGAAATCCTGTCTCAAAAACAAACAAACAAAGCAAAAATACTTTCTGGCGAGCTGCTTCCTTCCATTGATGTGGCGCACAACCGCCTTTCTGGAGAAGTGATAAATATAAAGAAGGCAAATTCTAAAGTTCTCTGAGGAGATAAATATCTTACAAGTCAAAGGTTAACCCAACATCATAAAGAAACAAGCTGACAGAATTTCATTTCATATCTTATGATCTAAAACTCAGTACTAAAGTATGTGCCTAGCATACAGGCTCAACTGTCTGTGTTTTATTTATTGACATAACCCCAGGACACAGAATAGTACCTTGTCCACTGGTGAAGGTCTGAAAAAAACACATTCTATATTCTAAGTACTTACTTGGAGAAAAATTATCAGATAAGAAATAGCAGAGGCAGGAATGGTGGCTCGCATATGTAGTAATAAACTGGAAATCAATGGCAGGGAAATGGCTACTACAAGTTTGAGGGTAGCTTGGTCTTAGATATCTAGATAATGAGTTACCGGTCAGTCAGGGGAACATAAGAAATAAATAAACATCTCAAACAAACAAAAAGGAGGAAACAAAGGAAATGATGGATAAAATGAGAAGGTATAGTGCTAGGGAGATGTAACTTATGTGGTAGAGTATTTGTCAAGCATGATATAAAGGTTGGGTTTGATATCCAAAACTGTCTAAATCTAAATGTAGTGGTATATACTTAGAAACCTACAATTCCAGGACTTAGGAGGTAGGAGCAGAAAAATCAAGAGCTCAAGGGCAGACTTCGCTACATGAGACCCTGTCTGAATAAATCAATAGCCAGGCATGGTGATACATACCTTTAATCCCAGCACTTGGGAGGCACAGGCAGGTAGACCTCTTTTGAGTTTGGGATCGGCCTGGTCTACATAGTGGGTACCAGGCCAGCTAGAGCTACCCACTAAGATCCTGTTTCAAAGTAAGTAACAAACAAACAAACAGAAATAGTGGGATAGGAGCTAGGTATGGTAACGTATACCTGTAATTCCAGGACTTGAAAGGCTAAAACAGGAAGACTAGCCACAAGTTTGAAGCTAGCCTCAACTACAAGTTAAGGTTCCAGGCCAGTCTAGGTTATAATGTGAGAGCCTTCCTACAGATTGGAGAAGACTGGGAAAATAGCTCAATAAAATCATCTTTCTAAAATGTAGTAGGAAAAATGGCTGGGGAGATGGCGAGGTGTGTAACAGTACTTGGTGTGCAAATTGAGAACCCGAATTAGCAAAACAGTACTCATATTAAAAGCCAAGCATGACTTCATGTGCCTATAACATCAGCATTGGTGGTGAAGACTGGCATATCCTAGAGCTCACTGGTTGGTCATCCCAGTCAAAATGACAAGTTTCCATCTCAGAGACTTTGTCTGAAAGGAATAAAGTGGAAAGCAATAGAGCAAGGTACATGTGCTCTTCCTGCCTCTGCATGTGTATGCATGGGCACGGGCTCCCCTGCACTTACATGCACACAATGTACACATCACACACATGCAAAAAGAAATGACGAAGATACCTCTTTTTAAGCTCAGCATGGTCATGACAGGGCTGAAGTCGGAAGAGTGGCATAAATTTGAGGACAGCCTCAAACACATAGTGAGAACCAGACCACCACAGACTACAGAGTGAGACTCTACCTCAAATCAAAGGGAGGGAAAGAAATAATAAGAAAAAATAAAAATGACCAATAGTCACATAAGGCTAGGAGGTCTACAGTCATTATTGCTCACATAGGTCAATGCTCACGTGAATAGTCTTAAGGAAATCTATGGTAGAAAATAACTAACTGCACATAAATGACCCATTGTCAGGAAGGCTGCCTGATTGTGTAACATGAAGGGGCCTGCTTGTTGGGGTTTATGTCTGCCCAGTTCCCACAGCCATTTAGCCCCAAAGAAAATCACACAGAGACCTCCATAAGTTATAAAAACTGATTGGCCCATTAGCTCAGGCTACTTATTAGCTCTTGTAGCTTATGTTAACCCATTATTCTTATCGATGTTAGCCACACGGCTCGGTACCTTTCTCAGCGAGGCAGGTTACATCCTGCTTCTTAGGTGGTCTGGGCAGGAGTGGCAGAGGGAGCTTCCTGCTTCCCAGAATACTCCTGTTCTCTTTGCTCCACCTCTACTTTCTGTCTGGTTTTCCTGCCTATACTTCCAGCCTGGCCAATCAGCATTTATTTAAAACATGATTGACAGAATACAGACAATTATCCCACACCAGATTGTTACTGGGTTTTCCCCAAACTGACTTCAGAAGCCATTGTCAAACCTGTAATCCCACCTTTCATACTGGTACTTGAAAGGATGAGGCAAGAAAATGAATGAGTTTGAGGACAGTCTGGGCTTCAGGAGA